TAGTAATCACATGGGTCTACACATGATCGGCAGCTGCGTCACTGTAGCAGTGTGCTCCCCCAGTACAAGGAAGCACTCAAGCCCAGTGCTGTAGCAGTGTCACCTTGCAGCAATGTGTAGACATTCTCAGTTTGTGATCCACTATAACCCAAGATTCTTTGTTGATGTAGTACAGCCCATCTAGTTATTCTCCATTTTGTCTTTTTCTTAACTGTAATACTTTGCAGGGGCTGATCCAAGAAGGTGTGGTGGTGCAGTCACACACTCCTGCTGAGAGCTCTGGTCTCAGGCACCACACATGCTGTGAACAGGGTTGCCAACTGTCCATAAATGCACAGACACTCCATAAATAACCAGGCTAAAAATGCCTGTCAATAAACTCTGTAAAAAATGAAACAAGAACCACTTCACAAAATCAACTGCATAAAACACAGAGAGGGTTAAAAAAGCAGCTGAATGCAGCGTTGAAGCACTGAAAGAACACAGCAGTGCCACACAATATCCAAGTTGGGGTGTAGCACATTGAAAGGATCTCTTCTTGGGGCTTTTTGGCTCCTTCCCCAACCACCAGCCATGTGTTGGTGCTGGTTTTGCTCCTGGTGCTGCTTCCCCTCTGCCTGTAACACTTGTGGGTAGCAGGTAAGTGAACAGTGGTCTTTTTTGGGGGTCTCTTGTGAGACAGAGGGGGTGAAACTGGGACAATAAGGCTGGGGGTGGTCTGGGGGAGACATGATGCAGAGTGCATTCAGAGGTTCTAGGATGTGAGGGAGAGTAGGGGACCTGCTGAGGTGGAGGTAGCAGAGCATAAAAGTATCAATAATCTGCAAACTTTTTACTGACAACCAAATTTTTTTTACTCTGGTTTGAACTTGACCCTTCTCCAAAGTCTGGCAAAAGGGTTGTTTTTACATCATATAAAACATGTCGGTAAAAAATATTTGGTTCTCAGTAAAAAAATCGCAGATTGTCAGTAAAAAAATCATCTTGGGTTTGCAACCATTGCAGTCAGCTCTCTGCCACTGTGGCACCTCCCTTTTCAGCATCCTGGATCCACTATGGCACTTTACACCTGTTATTAACTGCATGTCATTTTGTTGATTTCAGACTGATTTCTTCAATTTGCCATGACTGTTGTGAATTCTAAGCCTATCCTCCAGAGCCTTTGCAGTCCCTTTCCATTCCCACCACTTAGTTTTGTGTCACCTGCAAATTATAAAAACATTTGTTGTTCATCCCATTATCCAAGTACATCTAACATACCCATAACCATACCCATAACCATAAATGTTTAAAAGAACAAGGCCCATAACAGACTCCTGAGGAAACCCAATTGAAAAGTTGCACAGCTTGGGAGGAAACTATTGAAAGTTACTGTATGACAGAGGCATTTCAACCAACTATGCAACAATATTATGGAGATTTCATTTAGGCTGTGATTCCATAGTCCAGTATTTGAATCTCACATGCAATAGTGTCAGAAGCCAGTGTGAGAATCACATGTGGTTTTTACAAAGAGCCCTTGCCACATTCAGTAAACAAGAAAAGAAAAGAAAAGAAAAGAAAAGGGCCTGTTTTGTTCAAGGCTCTGGTTTGCTATCCAAAGAGCTGGTTTTGGCTCCTGCCTGTGCCATAGGCTTTTCATGCCATGTTTGACAGCTCTGTATTATAATGCAGACTCATAAGGAGGATGAATTAAGAAGGCACATGGAACATTTATTTTGTTCTTCCCTACTGTTTTAACCTTTGGTTTTGCAAATGCTATTCTTTTAATGGAGCTTTCTTAGGGCTAGATGTGTGTGTACATATGTGTGTGTATATGTGGTATATAAAGTAGTGGTGGGCCAATTTGTAACCCAAGGGTTATAGTACCGGCACAGAAAGGACCAGTGAAATACTGAAATACAAATAATAAAGCAGGTTTGTGAATAACTATTTCACATACACACCTCAAATTGAGGCAGAAACCACATTCAGACTTGGATTCTAACAATTCCTTGAAGCCTTTAATGTCCAGTGTGTTTATATCTAGGATTTTTATTTGAGGGTGCTAATAATTTATACCTGGAGAGGGCATTCAAACCTAAGGGATAAATCCTACACCCACTCAAACCAAAGGCAGAACTCTTTCTGACTTAATCTGGAATTGGGTGAGACTCTAGGGCCTGACCTAACATAGGACTGCCTAAGTTTTACAGGTGCTGAGAGAACACATAATAGGAATTGAAGAATCCTGCATCCCCCAGGGTTGAGTTCATAGTTTTGAGTTCAATGCAAATGCTGACTATGATCTCTCTGTCAGTCCTATATCTTACTTCTTGGGAGATGAATGTACGGCATGTGTGAGCACTTATTTGGGCTAGAGGCCCATTTAGGGAGTTTTGGTGAGCTGTTGTGGGCTGGGCCAGCACCCTCCCCCGCAACAACTCACCAAAACTTTCTAAATGGTAGATTACTAGATGGTCCAGGGGCGCTAGATGGAGTGAGCAGGCAGGGTCTCTATGGAGACTGGCCCGGGACCCTGGTGGGCAGGATGTGCTTGGCTGGATGGGTGAGTTGGGGCCACAGGTGGGCAGGAAGCGGTATCCAGGAGCAGAATGGGCAGACAGGACCAGGGCCAGGGCCAAGACTGGGCTCACGGGGCACAGACAGTGTGGGGCTGGGTTCGGGGCCAGGGCAGATCCACACCCTGTACAATGGATAGTAAGTGGCCCAACCTGGAAAGGGGGTGGAGAACATGTCCATGACCCAGCTCCTGCTTCTCCTGTGCCAGCACTGGAATGCCTGGGCAGCCCCAGTACAGTATGGCCCAGCAGCATGGGGCTGACCCAACAGATTGTGACTGGATTAGGCTACACTGCACTGCTTGGTTGGCCTGGTCATGATCTGTCTTATGGGGACATGGCTCTGCCCTGGCCCCATCCTGTCATCACCCCATGATCCTGCTCCTGGCCCTTGCCCCACCTGCCCATCCTGTTCCCAGATGCCAGTCCCTGCCTTCCCATGGCCCCATCCCACCCACCTGGCTGAGTGTGCTATACCCATGGGGGTCCCAAGCTAGTCTCCATGGAGACCCTGTTCTCCCACTTGATCTAGTGCCCCTGGCAGTGGGCACAGGGCAGACTGGTCAGGGTGCCCAGGCAGCAGGGCCAGCGCTAGGGCTGGCAGTGTCATTGACAGCTGGAAGGAGCTGCTGCCACCTCCAGGGCTGCTGGGAAGTGAGGTATGGCCACCACACTGCCCCAGCCCTGCTGCGCACCTGGGGCCAGTGGGACCAACTGTACGCACCACAGCCCAGGCTGTCCCCCAAGCCTGGGCTGGGCTAGGCAGGGCCAAAGGATCTGGAGCTGGCTAGATAAAATCCCATGGACTATATTTTGCCCATCCCTGTTGTAAGCTGTTGGGGTGGGAGGCTGGGATGTATGGACACTAGGTAACTGAGGGGTAGTTCTCAGTTTGGCAGGAGGCTTTTCTGCAAGCTGTTTGCTGGTCATGGTGACAAGTGATCCAGTGCGTCATGCTGATGCTGCATTTCTCGGAAATTGTATGCCTGAATGACTGGTTTTTCAAATGCATTTAGCCTGAGAGGAGATCTTTCCTCTGGCAACAGACATCACAGTGCAAAGTTAAAAAGAGAGAAATATCATTCGATCACAGAAATACTGCAATTAAAATTAATGGTCACAATCAAATGTGGGTTTCCGAGCAGAGGCAAAAATTAGCTCTCTCAGTGGCAGGGAGTGGCCAGCAGGAGTCCCTGTTGATCACCTCAGTGAATCATTCAGGGCTTGAGTCTTTCATTTATATCTCAGATCAAGCAATTAGTGCCCCTACAGCTTTATTTTGCATTGTCTTCCCTACCATCAAAGGTAATCTTTATTGAATACTTATACCAATCCCTATTTGCTAATGCCATCCAGGATACTTTGTGTAAAAATAGCAAAACTGAAAGAGGGAAATTTGGAAATAAATTCTTATATTGCAGTTTTCCAAATGAAATCTCCCTCAAGTTGTTGTGAAGTGGTTGGTACTTTAAAACTGTAACACTCAATCTAGCATAAAAGCTATTTAAATCTTTCAAATTAGATCCCCCCTTCCCCCATTTCTTTTTCTTTTCTCTCCTGTATTGTGATACTGGGTATTTTTTTTATAAATTTGAAGATGAAACCAGCATGGAAAATGTCTATATTTAACCCTTAAGTTTTCTGCTTTTCCTCGGTGATCCAGACTGCTAAAGATTTTGGTTCAAATGCCAAGAAATTTGCTCATCACCTGTAAACAGCATCACAGTTAACCATGCTTCATAGTTCACTTTACACTTTCACATAATAGCTGTTTAGAAAAGGTAGGGAATATTAATTTATTCAATTTCAAATGTTACTAAACACTGGTCATGAATAACTCCTGTCTACTTTTTAGGCTCCCTTGAAAATACTTCTTCCAAGATTTAATGGTAAATAATATAAATAAAGATCGTAGTGTAAAGATGGTTATTTGAAACTGAAATTAATTACCAGTAAATTAATTACCAGTAAAAAATGAGGCAGGTTATTTTAACTCTAAGTGCACCAAGGCATTGATTTGCCTGTGCATATTTGTGGAGCAAAAGTATTAACAGGATATTACTTACTTATTAGGAAAACTGAAAAGTATATGTATATGAGACAAAAGTATATGAGGCAAAACTGAGAATACTGAGAACACAGCATTTTCATAGAAAACAAGATAATCCCCTCAGAATCAAAGTGGTAATTTGATTTTTGGACTGTATTTAAAACATCTATAATTGGAAGTTAAAAGGAAATGAGCTCATAGGTATTGATTCTTCTCTTTACGATATTTAACAATTATAGCATTATAGGGAGGGAGATAGCAAGCTTATATCTTAAAAGCTAGATTGCATTTATATTTTACTTGAATCCTCAAACTGTAACAATAATAACATGTGTTTGCTGTTATTAGGCTACCCAATATATGCAGTAGGTTACACAGGTGATACTCACCGTACAGTATGGTTAACATTGACACAGGCATGACAAGGAAACCCAACAGCATATCAGCTATTGCGAGTGACATTAGAAAATAATTAGTGGCATTCTGTAGCTTTTTCTCCAGTGACACAGCCATGATGACAAGAATATTCCCAGCAATGGTTAGAACAATCACAATAACTGTCAACAAAGCTGGCCAATTTTTCTCTGGAAGCTGAATCCATGATGAAAAGCAGGGTGAGCTCGGACTGCCTTCACACGAAAGATTAGTTAGGTTTTCAGAGTCCACAGTTAAGTTAAACAGATGAGATGTGTTAACCTCTCCAGATACAAAAACATTTTTGTAAAGTCTTCTCTCATGATTTAATTGTATTAAGGAGTTTGTAGTTGGGTTCACAGAACTCTCCTCATCACAAAGAATATCCATTGCTGAAACTGTTGAGTATGTATAGTAAAAAGCTGAAAGCATAAATTTTTGTCACCATCAGGCTTTATATTCCTTTGTTGTCCAAAGCTGAAGCTGGTGTAAAGGAAGGATTATTTTTTGATAATTACTTTTTCTTTATTATCCGGATGGAATTATTCTGAACGCTGAAATACTTTCTTTTCGGCTCCCTGTGAAGTCCCTTATTAGCATATGTTAAAAATCCAGTTGAAAAACAAAATCAATATGGAGAATAGAAAATGTGGACTTGAGGTTTTGGAGAGCAAAAACAGTGGGCAAAAAACTTTTGCAACCATCAGGACTCTCTTCTGTAGCTACATCTTATTGCTCTTCATAACTGTAATCACACAATTTTAAATGCAGCAGTATTAAAATAGCTTGCTATACAAAACAGCAGAGCTCTGTTCCACAATGAGAAAGTTGATTAAAGATTCCACCCAGCATCTAACTCTTACAATAATAAGATATGCTCTTATTTATAGTTCATCTTCCATATTACTGGCTGATAGTCTCTGACTTCTGTCATATTTCAATATCATTCTGAGTCTCACACCAGTGATTACAAGTAATATTCCACATTGATTTTAATATCTAATAGTATCTTTTGGCTCAGCATGGCTTCAAAATAGAAATAAAATGACTAAATGCTACAATTAAAAATATAGTATAGGAAGACTTACATTGCTGAGAGCCCACATTCAAAGTTCCTTAGATCCACCTTGTACTCTGATTTGCCATATCCTTCTGAGTCCCTTCTCTCCAGTGGCCACAAAAACACTAGTATTTTGATTACAGTTACGTTGACTTCTAAACTGTACGCTTGAGAGAAGCCAGTTCCTGTGTAGCCAGTCTTGTTCTTTTCTTCTGAGAGAGAGGCTGCTTGCTGTATCTTTCCTTGTGCATTTTCCCCCCAAGGGCAAGCTACATGGAGAGTAATAATAATATCAGACCCCTCCTCAAAGTGATACAAAAGAAAGCACACGAACTAGAAGGAGCAGTCTCCAGAAAGAGATTACTGATTTCAACAGGAATGTAATTTCTTGCTCACTGCCTTGTTCAGTTTGTCAGACCTCCCACTATCTAGATGTCATAAACTGCAAGGTAGCAACAGCAAAGGAGGGCAGACCAAATAGGGTCTTTTTTTGGTAACTGCCAGCTTTTTCATTTGATCATTTTTGAGGTCTTAGTTTTGTTTAAGAAAATGCACATTTTCCCTTTGCAAAGGATGCCCTTCAAGCCAGCTGCGTACAATTATAATATCTTGTGGGATGAATGTTTGAGGAAGGCAATAAATAAAGATAGTAATGGTACATGCTGGTAAAACTGTAAATGTGCAGCTTTTTCCATCCTAAAGGTTGCAGCTTTTATGCTAACCCTAAACTGAATTACTCATGTTCAGTCCTCCCTTATCTGATTCCTGGGTGTGTGCTGATGACCTAACCAAACTGCCAAGATATTTATAAAAAATAAAAAGTAATCATAATTTAATTATTTGTCAGGAAGTGGAAGGTACAAATAAACTCTGATAACCTATTTGGAAGAAAAGTGCCCCAAATGAAGTAGGCAGACAAGGTTCCTTGGGTGAATTTGATATCTTTTATTAGACCAACCCAAATGGTTGGAGAATAGTTATTAAGCAAGCTTTCAGGTTCAAAAACCCTTCATCAGGCTAAGGAAGTTTCAGCAGTTGGTGTGTGCTCTTCCTGGATAGAATGAAAAGTAAAGAAGCCAGAGGCTGGGCTGGGGAGTCAGATGTCAGGCGGATTATAACGTGTCAAAAATCCAATGTCTATATTTAGTCCATGATCTCTAGTATCCAGGAGGTTGATGAAATGGAGTTCATAGGCTCGTCTCTGGGAAGTGTTGTGTAAGTTTCCCTTGAGGATCAGGACTGAGAGACTGGAGAGA